GCTCCACCGACTGCAGTTCTAATGCTGTCAAGGACACATTCTATCACGAACTGAACGCGCTACTACGCAGTGCAACTAGTTCAGATATTACAGTATGCGCAGAGGATATGCACGCACAAGTAGGGCGTCTGGGCTCTACAGAAGCTCAGCTGGGTGGTAATTATGGGTTTAACTCCGAATGGACTGACAACGGTGAGCGTCTGCTACAACTGTGTGCGCAGCACCAGCTGTTTCTTAGTAGCATTGCTTTTACACACAGTGGGCGCCGAAGTGCCACTTGGCGTCCTCCTGTAGCTGGCCAGCGATGGACCCAAATTGACCACATTGCCATAAGTTACAGGTGGCGTGGTTCCATCTTGGAGTATCTGCGTCGACTCTGATCACGCCCTGGTACGCTGTCGTTTCTCCATGAACTTTACCGGGAGACACACCAAGCGTCTTCTGCAATTAACAACTGAGAAATTGTCTCAGCCCTCGGTCAGGCAGGCCTATTAAGGCGCACTGCGTACCGAACCTTCACCGTCTTGTTCTAATGACACTGAGTTTCAGTGGAATAGGATCTCGGCCGCCACGCACGACGCAGAAGCATCTGCTTGTCGCAATATCAGTCGTCACCACACCAGTCACTGGATATCCGAGAGGTCGGTGAACCTGTTGGAATCCAGAAAAAACCTCCCCGTTGGCTCCAAGCACAATGTGACGAGACGGGCTATTAGGCGCGAACTAAAGCCGAGCTTACGTACTAACAAGGAAGCCTAGTGGACCAGTCGGGTTCAAGAAATGGAGGAGGCATGAACAGTAGGCATTTACCGCAAGCTCTCCCAGCTAATCCGCACCACTGGTCCCAGAAAACCAGGCGTCAGTGAGACAATCAGACAGCGGGGGTGCACTGATACGCAATAAGGAGCGCCGTATGACTCGTTGGGCGGAACACTTACAAGGTCAGTACAGCTGGTCGCCAGCTCCCGGATCTCTACCTACTCAGATGATGCAGGACGATCCATGGACGGTTAGTTTAGAGCCTCCGTCGGAGGCCAAAGTCCGAAACGCGATCACAGCCCTCAATCGCTTTTGTGCCGTTGGCCCGGATTCCCTCCCACCTGCAGTATTTAAGGATGGAAGGGAGGTCCTTTGCAAAGCACTGACCTCCGTATTCGAAAGCATCTGGAAGAAAGCGTCCCGGCTAACTGGAGCGAATCGATTATAGTGGCAATATACAAGAAGGGCAGTCGCACAGATTGTTCTAACCACAGGGGTATTAGCCTAAGACCAGTTGTGACAAAATTATTGGCCTCGATTCTCGTTCGTCGCCTCACTGTGGAACGGGAATCGCGGATTAAAGAAGAGCAGGCCGGTTTCCGCCTAGGACGTGGCTGTATAGATCACATATTCACTTTGCGGCAGGTGTTGGATCATCGCCACATGCAGCGAAGACCGAGACTAGCTGTGTTTCTCGATTTCAATAGTGCATTCGATTCAGTCGATCGATGCATTCTGTTCGAAACAATTGCGCAGAAAGATGTTCCCACGAAATATGTGAACATCCTTCGTGCGCTGTACTCGAACACTACAGGCCGCGTCAGGGTCTACGGTGGCCTATCGGATAGCTTTTCGACAACAAGTGGCGTTCGCCAGGGTTGTCCGATTTCACCATTTCTGTTCATTTTCGTCGTGCATTCTATCATGGAGCGTTCCCTTGGGGAATATCTCACGATGTAGGCGTTGAAATGCTGCCTGGTGAAAGATTAGTTGATTTCGATTATGCGGACGATATCGTCTTGCTTTCGACGATGATGCGGCAGCACAATCTACCCTGAATAGCCTCTCTGGAGTGGTCGCATTGTGTGGTATGCACTTCGCACCTTCAAAATGCAGTTGCTGCAGGTACACCAGCCACTTGATGACCCCTTGACGCTTGTTAACGAGGAGCTCGAGGTGGTTGATCAATTCACTTATCTTGGCAGCTGCATCTGCAACCATGGGCGCATAGAAACTGACGTCAGCTCACGCATTGCAAAGGCCAGAGCTACCTTCTTGAAGCTGCAGCATCTTTGGCGACAGAAGAGAATTTCCCTCCGTCTGAAAGACCGTGTATACAAGGCAATAGTGAGGGCCGTCCTGCTCTCTGGTACTGAGACTTGGCCCCTTAGGTCTGAAGATCCGAGGCGTCTTCAAGTATTTGATCATCGTTGTCTGCGAAACATTGCTGGTGTCGGATGGCACCAGCGTGTCCGCAACGCTGATGTGCGTAGGCAACTACTAGGTAGTGATAGTTATGCTATCTCCCTAGAACAACAGATAGCACTGAATAAGTTGCGTTGGCTCGGGCACCTGCTACGTATGCCTGGTCACCACTACCGAGGAGGACCTTGTTTAGTCTACCAAAAGTAGGGTGGCACAAAATTCGAGGTGGACAGAAGTTGACTTGGCAGTGGGAATTGAAGTCACTGACGACCAAACTGGGTGCCGTTCTCCGCCTCGCCTTGCGGGCTGCAGTCCACGTGACTCGCCTTGTGCTTGGCTCTAGAGTTTACAGGACATCGCTCGCAACCGACACCAGTGGCGCGTCTGCTGCCGCCTCCTAACCGGATTGCCTGTTTAAAGTGCGTTTGGTGCTGAGTTATCTGCGGAGTAATGGCTGATTATGACGAGGAGCAGTGAAAGCCGCAAAGAAGCTGTCTCGCCGATGCCGAGTTATCTTTGCACGACAGCCAACTGTTTGCCACAGTATGCTGTCCACACAAGGAGTAGGTGCCTTGACCTTGAATGTTTGCTTAGAGCATTAAGGTTTCCAGTTAAGCCCCCCTCCTCTCCCATTTATTATTCATTATTTCATAGGTCATCATGGTTGTATGGCAGCGAAGCATCAGTTCAAATGGCTGATGTACTGCTGTTTCCTCTTATGATCCGTCTGGTGTACATAAGATCCCCACAGCTCCGACGATAATCCATTCGGAATATGTTCAGCTTTCGAAGAGCGTAAGTAAGATGTCGAAGCTCAAGTTCAGCTGGGACTGGAACGATAAGATAATTGCGTGAATGATCCTTCTTTTGCGTATCGCTGTATCGGGCATTGATAGGCTAGCCTGACATGTTGAAAAGCCTAAAACAAAGACCGCATCACTCCTTGTCCAACCAATTACTTCCCACGTTTTCCTGCCAAGTAGTTCCTGCCAGGCCGGTTAATGTGAAGTAAGAGAGTGAAGGGTAAGCTATGAAAATAAAAGGGATGTCAGCTTAATAATGATAACACCAAAGGTGAGGAAAATAGAAAAAGGAAAGGAAAGTTGAAGACACAAGTCGGTTAGGAGAAGAGTAGGGTTTGGTACTGCCATTCAAGAGCACCTAACTGACGCTCGAAAACATCAGCCATAGACTCCCTAACGACGTGCTCCGGAAGCGAGTTCCAACCTTTAATAACCCCGCGTAACAAGCGAGTTTCCGTCCTTACACAGTCAGAACGCTGTTTGTGCAGCTTCAACGGGTAACATCGGAGATTAGGGAGCTTGGGGGGACTAAAGAGCAGAACAAGTCTGGACCGATCTTACCCGTTAGGATACGGTGAGGATATAGTCTGGTCTAATTCTCCGGTAGTGCATTGAGTAAATACGCATGCTAAGCAAATGTTCGGAATGTTTGCCCTCGTAATCACTGCACCAACCTTGTACCCACACGCAAAACCCTCTCCAGTTCCATTTTGTCCCTTACAAGACAAGGTGGACATACCTGGACACAGTATTCTAAGTGGGGTCGCACAAAAGCTGAGAACAGCTTCACAAAGATATCGGCCGTTAGCACGCCGAAAGAGCGGCGAATAAACCGCATCATATGGAACCCACTAAATCAGCCTTTCACCAATTGTCCCCAGAGTTAGGGACTGAGGTGTGGACGACACCTAGATCAACCTGCTGAGTGACAACAGGGATTTCACTTCCACCAACTACATAGCGCGTTGGAAAACTAGCAGCTACAATGCGGAGGACAGAACATTCCGCCTGATTTATAGGCATCAACCTTAAGGTCGACAGATCCAAAAGTCTATCCAAAGCACTCTGAATGGCCTAAGAGCTCCCCAAGGGATATACACATTTCAGAGCTTGGGGTCATCAGCAAACAAAAGCGACGGTACTTTAAGCTCTTGGGGTAGGCCACTGACATAAATCGAGGAAAGTAACAGCCCTAGGACTGCGATATTGTAAACATGCATGTCTGAGGATCACAGCTCAACCGCCAATTCATGCATCAGCTGCGGATGAATTGAATCAGAGCCAGAAGATTTGGAAGGATTTAACCTTTGAAATAGCCCGAAGACTTGTCACCATTATGCTAATTTCAGTTACGCAAGAATCCTCTGGGACTTTGGTGACCAGCTCAGAGGTGGAGGCCTCAAGCGAAAAGACACTAGTATACTGTTCGCTAAGTATACAAGCATTATCACACTCGGTATGCCCATGTGTCCCGCCCGCTCGCAGTAAAGCCGGTATAGACGAGTTTGTACCTCTGCGTCTCTTTACATAAGCAGAGAACTACTCTGGATTTGCTGCGGCTACGTCAGCCAAATCCTTCTCGTACTGAAAACAAAGAGTCCTAAGATGTTGCTTACATTTATTTCTTATCACCCGACAGCTTTCGTAGGTGCTAGTTGATGAAGCTACTTGGTAAGTTGGCCAGCACTTGGAGCGCTTCCTGAGCAAGTATTTGCCTGTATGACCTATCCAAGAACGCTGCGCCCGTGTCACACTTAGCGTAATAAGTGGGAAATAAGGAGCAGAGATCACAGTGAAGTGTGTGTTAAATTACTCGCATCCTGTCTAAACAGTGTTAACCAAAGGTGACAGCGCAAGGAAGAACTGAAACTTTGTCTCGAATTGCGTTAAACTCTGTCCGCGAAATATTTGGACATGGCTCAGCGGTAGCGTGGTGACACTAAGTGCACATTAAAAGAATATGCGGACATGGTCACTAGCTCCTAGAAGACAGCGGAATGTAATATCACTTACTTGTTAAGGGCTCTTGAACACTGAGCCGAAGCCGTTGATTGCGGGAAGGCAGTCGACGTGCTGTTCATTGACTTTTCCAAAGCTTCTGACACCGTACCACATTCGCGCCTTTTGTACAAGCTGAAGTCCTATGGTATCTCGGAACCAGTATCACGATGGATTTCAGCTTTCCTAATCGGAAGGGAAACGTGTGCGCCGGTGGGTTCAAGCGTGTCCTTCCGCCAATGTGTTCTCAGTGGCGTTCCGCAAGGTTCGGTCCTTGGCTCCCTTCTCTTCACTTTATACGTTAATGACCTACCTGATGAATTGGGTGTGCCATCCCTAATGTTTGCGGATGACTTGAAACTCCGGCTCACGATAGACGATTCGATTGGTCCACTGACTTTACAGAGGGCTCTCGATAGATTTTGGGACTGGTCAATTTTGTGGCAGTTGCCCGTTAATTTAGCGAAACGTTCAGTTTTACGCGTTGGTCCGAATGACACGCCGACGCGTTATTTGTTTGGCGGCAACGAGGTACCGCGAGTTTAACTCCAATCCGTCCTCGGTGTTTTTCTGTCATCCGACTTTAAGTCCAGTGAACACTGGACGACAGCTGCTCGCAAAGGTTGTAACATGATGTAGATGATCCACAGGTCATTCGGGATCATGACCACCGAAATGTTCGTTAACTATTTTCGGCTTTTGTAAGGCCGCACATTGAATACTGCGTTCAGGCTTGTCCTTCATGCCTGGTTCATGATAAGATGGCAGTTGAACGAGTCCTGCGGTCCGCGACAAAAATGGTGCACGGAATCTGACGTACCCGGAGAGGCTAAGTAAATTAACTGTTTTCCATGTATTACAGGCGGCTTCAAGGTGACTTGCTTCTCACATATCGTATATTGATGGGTCAGATTGGTACCGATTTGACTGGACTGTTTCGCCCAACTCGAGTGCCAACCCTGCGTGGCCACCCATTAAAGTTGCACAAACCGCGGTCTGACCAGGTTTGGGCAGCTTTCCGGTTTTCGCGTGGGGCCGTAGCTTAATGGAACGCATTGCCTACAGACGTCGTGATGGCACTGACGGCGAAAGAGTTTAAGCATCGACTTGACGCTGTCGATCTGTAGTTTAAAGTCTCCCCTACTGGCTGGCCGAACTACCTCCTCGTGGTGCCAGCTGGGTGGTTCGGGTGTACCCCGTTCCAGCAAAGTATTCGGCGACAATGTTCCACCTTGGTGGGGCATTGTATTCCAGCAGGTGTGCTGACTATATGGGGAGTATTGGGTCCCTGTTTGGTAATCTACCAAACAAAGACGCATGAACTGAACATTCAGTCAACGCCTCCCAATGGGCGCGATTCCCTAAATTCGCCACGCTGCCTTGCGGGTAGGTTATTTAGCCAAAGGCTCGGGGTGGAGTCCCCCAAGTCAACTCCCTACTTCGGCTTGGGCAACCGGGTAGTATCACGCCCTCTCGCAAAACCATGAGCTGTATTACAACTTGCTCATCAGCTGCTATTTCTGCTAGTCACTTTCACGCGACTTCATCACACGCCAATTGTTTGTTTGTTAACAATCCTCACTTTCCGTTACCCGATTCATGTGCTCAATAACCTGGCTGCGATTCCGGTTGCGAAGCAGACCAAGAGGTTCAACCATGGCTCTCCTTCGTCCCCGATCCTCGTTCCGTCTGGCGTGCTTCAACGTTCGGACACTCATGCAGATTGAACAGCAAGCCGGTCTAGCGCGCACTCTAGATTCCCTAGACATTGATGTCTGCTGCCTTTCAGAAACCCGATTGCAAGATCCCAGCACTGTGCTTACACTGACATCCCCAACTGACCACGAAGCCAGATATCACCTACGTCTTTCTGGAGATCCAGAAGCAGCCTCAGCGGGTCTGGCTGGTGTAGGTATAGCACTAAGTGACAAGGCCGAGGCGGCACTACTGGACTGGTTCCCTATTAACAGCTGATTATGTGCAGTTCCGCTTCGGGGTTCGTGTAGAATCAACAGGCACTGCGAAGAAAGACACAACTTGTTTGTGATCTCTGTGTACGCTCCAACTGACTGCAGTGGCGACTCGGTCAAGGACGAATGCTATCGGGATCTACAACAACTCTTGACTAATGCTAAAAAGTCGGATGTCGTTGTCCTTGCTGGGGATTTGAATGCACGGGTTGGCCGCCTGTTACCATAGGAACGCCACCTTGGTGGTCATCACGCGCTCGATGAGAATCGCTCTAATAACGGAGAGACTTCTCACATTGTGCGAAGACAGTTGTCCGTTTCTTTCGAGCACTAACTTCAGACGTACGAAGAAGCGTTCCGCAACGTGGCGTCCCCCTTCTTCAACACAACCGTGGTCTCAAATTGATCACATTGCAACCAGCTTCAGATGGCGCGGCAGCGCACTGGACTGCAGGTCCTTTTGGTCCACCTTCGTTGACTCAGATCATGCTCTGATCTGCGCGAAAATCTGTATGTGTTTTGGAGAATCCCGAAACACGAAGCACCGCAACATTGATGTAAACAGATTAACTGATTGTCTGTCCAGGCGAGCTATCAGTCTTCATTGGCATATGCACTCAGTTGCAATCCACCGCAAGAAGTGGACTTGTATACGGAAGGCAATGACCATTTCCGGACAGTCATGCTGCGGCCTAACTCGACGCCCATTGAAGGCTTGGATCTCTGCTCGTTCTCTGGAGCTGTTCGAACGCCGCAAAGATTTCCCCGCAGAATCAGATTGCAACGAGCGGCGCCGTTCTGCCAACCGGCTGCTCAAGCAAAGCCTACGCAAGGATCGCGAGACATGGTGGTCTGAACGCGCTTTAGAGATGGAGACCGCTGCCCTCTCTGGCAACACCCGCAGGCTTTTCCAACTCATTCGGTCCACTGGCCTCAGGAAACCTGGTGTCAGTGAGGTCATTTGTGAGGTGGATGAGTCTCCGATCACCAACCAACAGAGGCGTATGGACCGCTGGGCCGAGCACTTTCACTCGCAGTTCAACTGGCCTCCACCATCCATCAGTACATGCAGTACACGTTGTTGTCCACCCTGGCTCGTCCCTCTGAATCCACCCAGCGAAGCGGAAGTCGGCCTTGAGATTCGACGCTTGAAGCGCTTCAAGGCTGCCGGCTTAGACGGACTTCCTCCGGAGCTATTCAAGTACGGCGGTGTGGCGATCATTAACCAGCTGACCGCGCTTTTCGCAAAAATTTGGCATGAAGAGAAAGTGCCTTCGTCTTGGGGCGAATCAGTTATTGTCCCAATTTTCCAGAAAGGCGCTTGCACTTCATGTGCAAATCATCACGGGATTAGTCTTATTTCGGTTGCCTCTAAGCTGTTGGGCATCCATTCTGCTTCGCACACTATCCCCATTAAGTGAATCATACTACCGTGAAGAACAAGCTGGTTTCCGTCCTGGCCGCGGATGCGTGGATCAAATCTTCACGCTCCGCCAGCTCCTCGAACATCGCCACATTTATCACAGGCCCATTATCATTGCATTTATAGACATACGTGCCGCTTTTGACTCCGTTGATCGACCTGCTTTATGGCGTTACTTGCCAAAGAAGGGGGTGCCAGATAAATATACCGCCATCTTACGAGCACTTTACCTTCATACATCCGGCAGAGTGAGAGTCTATGGCAATTCACTGTTAATAGCGGTGTGCGAAAGGGCTGCCCTATGTCGCCATTCCTCTTCAACTTCGCAATCGAAGACGTTCTGTCGAATGCTCTAGAAGGTTTCGAACATTTTGGCCTAGAGCTTCTACCGGGTGAGCGCGCGACCGACTTAGACTATGCTGATGATATCGCCTTACTTGGTGACGATCTTCAGAGTATGCAACTCATTCTGGATCGTTTGGCGGTTGAAGCATCTAAGTATGGCATGAGCTTCGCCCCATCGAAGTGTAAAATACTGCTCAAAGATTGGCATTCGCCTGCTCCCGTACTCACTCTCGATGGTGCGCAACTTGAACAGGTAGATAGTTTCGTCTACCTCGAGAGCTGTATTTCTGCTGATGGCACTATCAGCTAAAGCTCGATCAGCATTTGTCAATCTGAGGCACTTGTGGCGTCGTCGCGACGTCTCATTCTCACTAAAGGACCGAGTTTACAGTGCATCAGTTCGCTCAATATTGTTGTATAGGTGCGAGTCCTGGCCGCTCCGCGTGGAAGACATGCGTCGTCTTTCTGCGTTCGATAACGGTTGCTTAAGGAGGATCGCTCGTGTTTGGTGGCAACATCGAGTTAATAGTAATGACGTTCGACGTCGCATCTTGGGGAATGCGAGTATTCCCTTCAACAAACTGGTTTTGTTGCGTCAGTTGAGATGGCTCGGTCACGTTCTACGCATGGCACCTGAGCGCCTACCGCGTCGCACTCTATTCGCTCGTCAAGGACCTAGCTGGAGGCGACCGCGTGGTGGTCAGCCTTCCACTTGGCGGCAGCACATGAAATCGCTGACGTCGTGTCTAGCCGCTGTAGGATCCGTACGTCTTCCAGGATGGGGACCCAAAGATGAGGAGTGCCAATGGCTTAGCACTCTTGAAGGTATGGCCCGCAACCGGAATCAGTGGAAGAATTGTGTACATTATTGTATTGATTCACATGTTTAATTCTACAAACATTAAAATGACAAAAAAAGAACAAAAGCGGCGTGTGAAAAACAAACTAAAAATGTTTTGTTCTGCTTTTTGTCAAAATGTTCCATTCTTCCTGCGGCATATTAGTTGAAGTATGTTGCTCACCTTCAACTAGCATGCCACGATGATTATGTCGCCATGAATCTTGCTTATCTCCATGGTTTTAGGATGGCTCTTTGTCTAGCTAATAGACCGTTGAGAATACATACATACATATACTCCCCTACATGTCTTAAACTTCACTCCACTACTACGGCCTACGCTTCTTTAACACATTTTAACTTACCTCATAATACTGCCTACGAAATTCGATAAGCTTGTCTTCCCTGCTGTTTCCTTTCCTTTACTGTTTTCTTTTATTCTTCACGTGGCCGGCACAGCAAGGACTGCTAGTGCAGCGCACGTGGGCATTGTTTGGTTGACCATGT